GATCCCCACTACGCACCGGATCCTCATCCAGCCCCAACCCCCAACATTGAGGACGGCGGATTCGGCATTTGCTGCGCCAAATCGGAGTGGTTGTCACCGAGCTCGACGGATCCAGATTTGGAGGCCCCAAAACGAGTCGTCAACTACCGAGGAAGCCGGATCCGGCACTGGAGAAGGCGTCTCCCATCGAGGACGACAGTTTCAGTGGAGGCGCGGTCATCGAGGATGATGGAGGAGGAGGTCGAGTTCAGTTGCAATCGATAGAGAAGGAGGAGGGGAAGAGTTGCGGCAGGTCGGCGGTGACGGAATAACAAAGGCGGCGAAGAAGAAGGTAGTTGATCAGTTGGGTAAATAGGAAGAAGCCTTGCGAGGTCTGTTGGCTAGAAAGGAAGAAGCCTGCGATTCTGCGAAGAAGAAATGTCGAGAGAGAGAGGCGGATGATTTCTTTTATATTCACTTTTTTGTCCAGATTTAAATTAGGCATATTTTTGTCTAACCAAACTCCGGAAGTAATATCTAAGCCATTTTTTCAAAATTTTATGAAAATATTACATATATTTGAAAGTTCAAGGGGGGCGGTCGTCCCCCGCGCCCCCTTAGAATATTAGAACTAAAATAATAGAAATTTTTGAAAGTTCCTAAATCCATTCCTGCATACATAATATGAATAGTAATATAATAATGTCACATCATGCATATGATCCATGATGTAAATGATGAATATATTTGGCGACATTGGTAATTAGATTATTATTAGGTACATGCATGAGACGGTGGAATGAATATTTGGTGACATTATACATATTTATAGTAGTCGTTTGATTTTACTTGCTAAAGAAAAACGGTCACGTGCTGGGACCAGTGGATATGATGTATGTCACTTGGGACCTCAATATTTACTGATTTAATCAATCAATTATGTTGCCTATGTTAAGATTTTATACGAAATCAGGCAAACCAATATTGTAGGCACCAACACGTGAGTCTAGCTAACTCTTTTTATTCTCATTACTACTCCCTACTTCTCTCAAAGATGTTTCCGTTCGTTTTATAATGCTTGACTGACGATAAAGCAATTTGATTCATGTTCACACTCAGATTATTTTTAGTAAATAAAATTTATATATTTAGAAACTACATTAAAATCGCTACAAATTAAAGCCTGATCAAGAAATTTTCAATTTGATAAAAATTTGATATATAAAGTAAAAGATTAGGAGTGACCTAAGTTGACCAATGAATAGTGAACAGGAACATCTTTACGGGACGGAGGGAGTATACAAATGTTCACATTATAAATTTATAGTACGTATACTTTAATATATACGGATTATATATTTCTGGAGAATTAGCACACATTTTTGTAATGTTACATGTTACTACGTACTATTTTGACACAGCTTTAGGTCTAGCATTTTAAAAGTGTATATTCTCGACAATCAAAGTACAAAGGTTGCATGCGTTTATACACGGAAAAAAACAATACCCGAGTAGTTCTAATTAACATATCTCCAAGATGTCAGGAATGAGGATAATAAAGTACGCATATAACGTATTTACACGAAATGATTATATTATCACAATAGATACATACGGAGTACAATACAACTATCAATAGTGATAATCTTGCAATCAAATATTGAGTATTATATTCAAAATTAATTTATCATTAAAATGTTAAATAATTATATTGTTTGATTTAACAAGTAAAGAAATATAATTAACGGTTTAAGCAATAATATAAGTAACAAATCTTGTTAAAAGTAAACAGTATTAATCTTCCAAAACAAGTAAACAGTATTAAATGGTTATTATGTAAGTACTACGTACATTATACAAGTATATAAGTTATTATTATTACATTCATTTCATACATGTTTTTTGCATTTGATTTTCAAAATGCTGGGTGTTCATGTCAAAGAATATTGGCCACCGATAATAGAGTACCGAGTACTAAATACTCCTTCCCTAACAAAAAAATCTTCTCACTTTTTTTTTTCGTCCGTAACAAAAAAACCTTCTCATTTCTAAATCTTCTCATCATATAATACCCTCAATAATTTTGAAAATAGTACACTATTACAACTACTTTTTAGGATTTATCCTACATTCCATCACATTATTCCACTATCTTCTCATCATACCCTCAATAACTCATATCATCTTTCACTATTTTAACTTTCCTACTTTTGAAATGAGAAGGTTTTTAAGTTACGGAGAGAGTTACAAAGATTTACCTACCTCTCCTATCCCGGCAAAATGAGGATACACAAGCGATATTTATAGGAGAAAATGCCTAAAAGTTACTATAATTGTTATATTTCCAAAATATGTAATTTGGACTCTCTTCTTATTCCACCCATAGATCATCTCTAATGAAACGATGTGCACGATGCATATGTGGCATGTGAGACAATCACATAATATTAGTAAATTAATTATATCTCTCTTTATTGGATGATTAAATTTATACAATTTTGACAAGTCTATCTATATACGGAGTATAATTGCAAAAGGAATCTTGCTCTGCAAGTTCCCGCCGAAAAGATGCACAAAGAGCTATGTAACCAGAAAGTTCTAAAGAAATAATTTAATATAGCTGGGTCATGAAACAATTAAACAAGCATTCAAACGGGAGGTGATCAGACAGTGGTAATTAATTAGGGGAAATTAAACTGGGACGTTTGGCTTCCCCATAGTCTACCTGGTGCGCATTTCTAAGCATTGCAAAACCTGTATATAACATGAAAGGATGTTCAACAAGATACTAGAGAGAAGGGATGTAAGGACTGCGAGGCCGCAGATCAATCGGTTCATCGGGATAAATCCTAAGGTGAAATGAGTGGGTTAGGTACCGGGACAAAGTTGCTTTTTAGCATGTTCAACTAAGAATCAATCTAAATACTTACACTAAAATCAATTGAATACTCATCAAATAATGTTATAAAAAATTCTAAACATCACTTAATACTTGATTTAAAACAACAAACTCATCTCTCAATCAATTTGAGTACAGCAGTAGTAAAAGGACAAACAAAAAACTTTATCTAAATGCTTGGTATTAATATATATTATCACTATGTAATACTAAGTATTAATAATTTTTAAAAACATTGGAGTCCATAAATCCGGAGTCTCTGTTCTGTAAATTAATGAAGTGGCTTGGGAAATAAATAACGCATCATAAAAAAATACGTCTAAATAATGCATACGAAGTATTATGATTAATCATATTGGCAAAAAAGTGTGATAGTAATTGCTGTTTGAAAATTCGGTAAAAGTCACATTGAGATTTCACTTGAAAAAGAATGTCTTTTTTTATATCAAAATTACTCAACGGAATAATTCATTTAATCAAAATTGAAATGCACCTGCCAAACGTAAAATCGAGGCCCCATATTAATATACCAAAAAATGCTATGAATTATAAGTTTTTAATATCAATTTCTTGCATTCATTATCTTAAAAATATAGAGAGTATGTTTCCTATGCCAATGGTTTAATTCATATCAACGAGTTGATCAACACACATTTAATAATTAATATTCTACTGGAGTTTCATTATGTAATTAATGATGATATCTTTATCTTTATATATATATATATATATATATATATATATATATATATATATATATATATATATATATATAATAAAGAGAACATGGTGGAGATCCAAATGGAAATCTATTTAGAGCCAAAAGAAGTGAAAAATTGTTGTCACTATTAATGAAGCATTACTTAATGAAGCCATATTAAGTGCCAACCTAATTAATTGTTGTATGTTATAAATAAAACTTTAGAAAATTATTGTCACTATTAATGAAGCATTACATGGTGAAGTCATATTAAGTGCCAACCTAATTAATTGTTGTAAGTTATAAATAAAACTTTAGAAAATTATATTGAGCATAAATACATTAAATATTAAAAAAATATTAAAAGATACATATACATAATTAATTAAGAGACATAATATAATAAAGTTAAAAATGAAATGTTCTAATTTCATAATATAAAATAGATTATTGCAATATATTTGGATACAAATATTATGTAAAAGACAATGATAATACTCATTACCCCGTTAAATGCGTCCATAATTTACTTGCATGTGGAACATAAATAAAGTAAAAATTACTTTGTATGTGATTGAGATTTTTACAAATCAGTTGAGAAAAATAATTTACCTGCATATTTATTAGTTTAAATGAAATGATAATTTTTGTTGGGACAGTTGCAAAAATAAAGTTAGCACAATTTAACGAAATGAGAGAGTAATTGTTTTTTATAATTAGCTGCAACATAAAATACAAAAATTCATTCATTTAATTCTACTATAACTATTCATTAGTATATAAGTAACTATTTTAAAAATCCGTTGAAATCACAATTTGAAATAATGTTTCCCAATTCTGAAATGATTTTTAGCTAAAACATATAGTGGTTTTAACAATCTTGATATGTAGCTTTTCTAAAACATATATTGAGATGAATGAAGAGATATTGTGGAGTATAACATAAATAATTTCACTTTTTAGATGGAGTATATTTAGAAATTTTAAAACACAACAGGATAGTAAAAAGTAATGTCATGTGTTGAATAATCATCATAATTATAACTAAATAATACGGAGTGCGACGTATGAGATTGTAATATGATAACAATTGTTATCATCTTCATTAGACAAGATATGTTAGGGATGAAAGAACACATATTTGGTAGTTTTATACTAATTGATGATCATACATGTATTCTAATATAATTCTATACCATGATTTTTATTTTTATACAATAAGTATGTATATACACATTACTCTTTAAATAAATTATTTGTAAAAGTAAATTGATTTCATTTGTTCTTCGTGCAACGCACGGGTGGATTGACTAGTTTCTATTAAGTATGATGTGTCTATTCTCAAAGATGGAATGCGAAATTAACAAAATCGATAAATTTAGTTGTTATTGTTTGTGGTTCCACAGAACAATCTGGAAAGCTGGAATTTTTTAACAATTATATTGGATGAGTAAATTCCCTAGGTAGGACCAAAACTTAACAAAAGTTCCAAAGTAGGACTTGTATGTTTCGTAGTATTCAATAGGAGTAAAAGAACTTAAGTTAACAAAATTACCCTTAATGAAACCACTTTAATAGAACAATAAAATAATACACAACATCGCACTGTTCAACAAACACTGCCACAAGTCATTCCCAACACTACCCACCCTTGGACCCACCGCCGTCAGTCATCTCAGTTGTCGGCGCCGCCATGTCCGGCGCCACCATGTCCGGCGCCGCCATGTCCGGCGCCGCTATTTCCATCGCTGCGGGTGCTGCAACATCCACCAGTGCCGCTACATTATTTGTCACCGCCGCCACATGCTTCGCCTCCCTAACCTCTTCTACCTCCACCATCACAGATTTCAGATCTGGAATTATTTTTCAGATATGAAAATAGAAGAAATTTCATTGTCATAATATTGCCATCATCATGCAAGTTAGTGTCATACAAACGACATTAAATGCGAAACATGTCATTAAATAACATTTTTATATATGAAAAACATGCATTATAAGTGTTGTTGTTAAGATCCGGGGTTCCATCCTAAAAGGTCAACCTGATAGGAGGAGTAGCCCAAAGTCTTATATAGTGTTTAATTGTTTTTATAGCTTTCCGGCGTGAGACAAATGCTTTAACATGCCCCCTCAGCCCGAACCGGGATGAACAATATCGGGGTGTATAAACGGGCCAAACAAACCCTTAATAAAGCTACCCTTAATCATGGGTGATGAATAAGCCGTCAAACCACAACCGGAATTGGCTCTGATACCATGTTAAGATCCGGGGTTCGATCGTAAAAGGTCAACCTGATAGGAGGAGGAGCTCAAAGCCTTATATGGATCCGGAACCTTTGCCTTGCTTTGCCACAAGGTAGGGTGTCCGGCTTTCTTAAACCGTCCGATCAACAAATCAACGGCCGAAGATCGTGGAGCTCCACATCTCGAGGCGCTTGCTTCCTCTTCTGCCCGTCCGATGCCGCAAGGCACCTCTGCCGCACGGCAGATGATCTGAATCCGCCTTATATAGTGTTTAATTATTTTTATAACTTTACGGCGTGAGACAAATGCTTTAAAAGTTGTATTGCCATCATGATGGAATTAAATCATAAAATGTCACTATGTGTCTAATAATATTTTTATATGGAAAAACATGTCAATTATAGCCATTTCAGATTAAAACAAAAAAAATATTGAAAAGGTATAAACATATTGAGTGAAACCAAATGTAAAAAACTACATTTTGAATTGTAAAATATGCGGAGCAAATTAAATGTGCCAAAAGCACAAAAGCTAAAAAAATTGAAAGAGAAAACAAAAAATAAAAACAGATCGGGAAACAAATAAGAAAAATCCAACAAAAATCAATTGGAGTTAACTTCTAATCAAGCACTAAGCCAACAATTTGACTGCATAAAATAAAAAACAATGGGTTGAAATAAAAGGATTGAAGAAGGGGAAGAAGAAGAAGGAGACGGAGGAGAAGAACAAAATTCATGATTCATACCTGGTAACCGGTCACTAGTGGCTGCCGCCACTCGCTGCCGTTCGTCGCCGTTGACCGACGTGTTGCCGCTCACTGGTGAGGGTGGAACTCCACCGTAAATGGAGATTTTTTTCATTCATATCTTTAAAAATCACCGGAGGCGGGGGAAATCTACATCAACATAATAGAATTAAAGTTATTGTTGAAGACGAGAAGAGGGAAGAAGAGAAGAGGAGAAGAGAGGTTTGAATTTCCTGAGAGGGAGAGGGTAGAGGAAAGAGGGGAAGAGAGAAAACAAAAGTCTACAATCCAGACCGTAAAGCAGGTTTGGGTGCATCGACGGTAAAACACAATTGCGGAGGGTGTAATAGGAACATTAATTAAATTAGTCCTATTTAGAGAAAACATTATAGTTAACTCGTATTGTGGAACTTTCTTAATATTTTAGTTCTATTTATATCAATTACTTCAATTGGATCCGGAGATGGTTTCAATGAAAGCAAAAATGCAACTGCTAATACGAAGTATATTGTATTAAGAAGTTTTTCAAATTTATGAATTTGGTATGCCATGCATGCTTCCATATTATAACGTTTCTTTTTTTGGTCAAGGTTATAACGTTTTTTTTAAAGTACATATTATAACGTATATAAACATTGTTACATTGACGTTTTATTTTGTTAGTACAATTGTTTTTTTTTTGTACTTTTCTAAATTACTCTCACGTACATGCGTAGAAATTTGATATTATGACATTCATATTTTATATTATTAAAATGTTTGGGCCGCGTGGTGATTATTTTTTTAAATTTCGCGTTATGATTAATATTTAAGTAAAATTATTCATCTGTGCATCGCACGGGTGATATACAAGTTTTGTTTAACAACATGTCAAACACAATGTATGCATCTAGACTTTCTTCTTCACATTGTAGAGAAAAATTTACCAAAGTTAGTTGTATAAAACCATTCAAATAAGAAGATAGATAATTTATTTATTAATATTTATATGGCGGCTATCTCTCGTAGCAAATGTGCATCGTACACATTGTAGCATTGAAGATGCTCTTATCATATTTAAATAAGAAAAATATATTTATATTTATATTAGGAACATATTAAAATTAAAAAAATATTTTGTATTTATAATAAAAACATATATGGAGTACTACTTTTGTATTTATCGTTTCTAACTCACTTTTCATCTACTTAAATGTTGCTATATGAATCTCATGTAAATTCTATTTATAGACATTTTCATAGACATGGACGCACACATGGTCTCTATAATTTATTGTTAACTCTGCTTTTTTTCTTTTTCTTTCCATACTCACCATTTTCTCTACATTAAATTAAAACAATCTTTATGGGGTGTTTGGTAACCGACGTTTCAGCCGAAAAATGGTGGTTTGACCACTTTCAGCGTTTTTAACAAGTGAAAACGATGTTTGGTAAATAGCGGTTCGACACTAGTGTTTTGGACGAAAAAACCGAAATGAAAACGCTGCTAATAGAAGAGTTTTGGGTTGACGTTTTAAAAAATGGCGTTTTCTGTTAATTTTATGGTCAAACAGTTAAATTACCAAACATCTTTTAACAACTCAACAATTTATTCTGCTAGTCAAACCCGCTGACTGAATCCGCTATTGACAATCCGCTAACATAACCCGCTATCCGCTGAATGCCAAACACGCCCTATAACACATAAGACTTTACGAAAATCGGCTTTCTCGCTGGGAATGTTCTAAAAAAATCAGAGTAAGAAAGTACTAAGATGATAATATTCTACTATTCTTACCACAATAATCGAAGATAATACATTTAACAAATACTACCCCTTAAAACTTTGTCAAATTTGACCGACGTGGGGAATAATAAAGTAAAAATTTTGTGATTGAACTTTGTACAGAGGAGAGAGAAAATAACAGAAACCACAAAATATTGATTAAAAAGGAAAATGTCAAAATTTTTTGGGACGTCCAGAAAAGGAAAAATGGAAAAACTTTTAAGGGACAATGGGAGTAATAATCTAGTACTACTACCTAGGATTTATCATTAGTATAGTACGGACTACGGAGTAGTATCTACTATCTTTAATAAAGTAGAGGAGGACTGCCCAGGTCCCTCCGAAGGGACGGGAGGCACCGTCCGAACTTTACTGTTTGGGGCGGTTCCCGGTGGAATTTTTTGATGCAATTTTTTGAGCATGTTCCTCATCACGTCTAGTTTGTCCATACCAAATTTCAGCTCAAAATTCGACCGGGAAGGCAGTCAAATAAATTCTTGAAACTTACTGCACTTTATATATGCGCAGAATGTGCAGTAAGCTTCAAGAATTTATTTGACTGCCTTCCCGGTCGCATTTTGAGCTGAAATTTGGTATGGACAAAGTAGACTTGATGAGGAACATGCTCAAAAAATTTCATCAAAAAATTCCACCGGGAACCGCCCCTAACAGTAAAGTTCGGACGGTCCCTCCCGTCCCTCCGGAGGGACCTGATCTTTTCTGTAATAAAGTATATCTGCATATGAAATGCCAACCATGTGCCGAACTTTGAAGAGGCTCACTTTTTTCACATTAATTCACAGGCCGTAACACTGTTTTTTGGCTTATCAGGCTTATTAGCCAACTTTTTCACCAAACACGTAATTTTTGCTTTCGCGCGCTGAATTGTGTAATAAGGAGAAAAAGTAAAGTTGAAGTTACTTTTCTGACTACATTGGTTGAAGTTACTGTAGATGACCATTTTACCTATTTTTACATATAACTTTGTCTTTATTTTATTAATAAAATATATTTTAAGAATAAGTTTTTCTTAAATCAGTAGAATCAGCCAATGCAGCCACTTCAGCTAGAATTTCATAAATTTAAGCAGAATAAGCCAAAACAGCCGATTTTCGTGCTACCAAACGGGCTCTCAATCATTTAGAGGCGGTTTGGCAACACTGTTTTTCAGCTTATCAGCTAACTTTTTCACCAAACACGTAATTTTTTGTTTCGCGCGCTGAATTGTGTAATAAGCAGAAAAAGTAAGGTTAGAGTTACTTTTCTGGCTGTATTGGCCGGAGTTACTGTAGATGACCATTTTAACTATTTTTACATATAATTTTTTTTATTTTATTAATAAAATATATTTCAAAAATATTTTTTTCTTAAATAAGTAGAATCAGCCAATGCAGCCACTTCATCTAGAACTTCATAAATTTCAGCCAATGCGCGCAATGTCTATTAAAGGATTAACTTAATCAAAAGTGTTTAATTTGAAATCTTGGATGTTTTTATTCGGTACATATCAAATCACATCAAAATTAGTCAATTAGACATAAATAAATTATATATACATAATTTGAACTGATAAACTATAAATAAACTCTTAGTAGCTAGATCAAATTTGAACAAATTACGGGATGTTTGGATTCACAAATTATACCGTAGGATTGACACATCATGTAAATGCAAGTCTCTAAATTAATGACCACAAAAATAACCCACCTTCATAGGAACAATCATAGGAACACCTTCAAGACAGTCGTCTGCAATCTCTTAAACTAATTTGGCTAAAGGGTCAAATAGGCTCTCGAACTAACTTAAAAAGTGCAAATCACCCCTTATATAGGAGACTCTGTCCAGCCACCGCCATTTGGGGTGGTTCCCGGTGGAATTTTTTGAACATCTTCTTCATTAAGTCTAGTTTACTCATACTACATTTCAGCTAAAAATTCAACCGGGAAGGCAGTCAAATGAATTTTTGAAGATAACTGCACAGTTAAAAAGCGCAGTACATTTCTAGAAAATCATTTGACTGTCTTTCTGGACAAAGCCTCTTATATAAGAGGTGATTTGCACTTTTTAAGTTAGTTCAAGGACCTATTAGACCTTTTAGCCTACTAGTTTTTCTGCACTAGCAATTTCCTAAAATAGCCCAAAGTAGTCATCACCTTCTTTCAAGTAACTTGCACCTTCACTTTGTTTCATCTATAAAAAATCAAGAAACAATAGTCAATTTTCAAGAGGGAAGTTTCACAAAGAAACATTATTGTGAAGATGCTTTTAACTAATAAAGTCAATGGAAAACTCAATACATCCACATACAATTCTTAATAAAGAAAGGCATGAGAAAGAATGAAATTTTGTTTAATTAAGTCATTTAATACCTCATACAATTAGTTCAAACCCTACATTTCAAGATTTTTATGAATACATCCACATAGATGAGAAGTGGTTCTACTTGACCAATGAAGTTAAACATTTATATATGCAACCTGAAGAATCAATCATGTATAGGGCAGTCCAAAGTAAAAGGTTTATTTCAAAAGTCATGTTTTTAGCGGTTGTAGGGAGATCTAAAATAGAAGAAAGTGGGGAGGTCGTGTTGTGGGATGGAAAGACAGGGATTTCCCATTCAAATATCAAGATAGGATAAAAAGAGAAGCAATAGAAATAGAATAAGTGGAACCTTAATGACAAACTATATTGCAAGCATCACAAGGGAAGTACTTAAACAATTTATGATTGAGAGTGCACTATCAACAATCCAAGAGAAATGGCCACCAGGATATGCCAAACACATAATATATACAACAAGATAACACAAAATCTCATGTGGACTTTGATGATTCAGACTTTGTAGCAGTTGCAAGAGAATGTGATTAGGACATGCATTCAATTAACATGTCGGCCTCCTAATAGTCGTGATCTAAATGTGCTAGATTTATGATGGTTTGGGGTTATTGATTAACTAAAGCATAAAAAAAGTTCTAAAAATATTGATGATTTAGTGAATGATGTGCAACAACCATTAATGAGTTTGACTCTAGGGATTTGAATCAGTATGTGTGAGTGACATTGCAAAATGTTATGGTATAAGTGCTAAAGTGTAAAGGCCACTACAAAAACAAACTACTTCATATGGGAAAGGGAAGTCTAGAAAGAAGGAGTATTTTACTTGTTGTTATTTCAGTTGATCTTGTTTTAGTTGAACAATCTAATCAGCTGCACATTTGCAAACACCAATAGTAATGGTCGCAGTTAAGGAAATAGAAAATGCAGTCAATACAATAGAACGAAAATACATGGAGTTCATGTCTGAATATCCCACAAGGTACCCTAAGGCTCCATTTTGAAAAAAAAAATCTTGTTTTTGTTACTGTGGTACCAATGTTTCTGTTCACAGGGCTATATAATAGGGTATTGTGCGTGTACAAACATTCCCATTTTAGTTGTAAGGGTACATGTTGGTGTAAGGGTATAATGTTACTGTTTTTTTCAACTTGAGCAACCCATATATAATCCATTTCTACTAGGTTGA